ATCAATTATTTTGTTAAGACAAGCAGAAAGTTCTTTGAATCATTTAAATCGGACGCTTAGTTCTCTCAAAAACTGTCATTTTTTACATATTTAGCTCCGTATCTTCGAAATGGCTGGACCTGCCTTTGCCAAAAACTAATAAACGCTTCTCCCAATCATTACTAATCGAATGTTTTTTAAATCATTCAAATCGGCTACTCCGTTCTCTCAAAAAGTCGATTTCTATTTTCTGCACTCTTTGCTCCGTATCTCCGAAACGACTGGACCTGCTTTTGCCAAAAACTAATCAGCTCTTTTCCCTGTCAATAGGAATCGAATGTTTCTTGAACCATTCAAATCGGTTGATCCGTACGCCCGATAACGTGGGAGAAAATTTGTATCCATACATACATACACACACACACACATCCATTTTTTCTGAGGTATGCCAAAACGTTCAGAAACCTTCAAAACGTCGAGAAATGTAAAAATTTTTAATTCCGATTTTTGGCCCATTACAGTAACTTACCCTACGGGAAGTTGAAAAAAAATCGAGCTTAATCAAGTTAAACTATTCTAATTGATACAGAAGTTGTTTATATTGATTCAATTATATTCATTCAGTTTTTTTAAATATTTTTGCAAAGCAGGAAGATTGATACTAAGTCCAAAATTATTTACTCATCCTAGACAGAGCCAGTTCAAGTGAGTGTAAATTTTAGATAATTTAGGCAAATTTGTTTAAATTTTTGAGACTCTAGCACTTCCTAATTTTTCATCCTAAGGCAATAAATTAAACTTCAAAATTAGTTCTACACATTTTTTTTTTTTTAGGTTGCCAAAATAGGATAGATTTATATTCATCTATGGAGCATACCTTGGAAACCTCTGCTTTATTCTTGTAAATCGTATTTATCATACGATTAGGAATCGAAATAAGCAACTATGTACTAGATTTTATAAATAACAATGCAGTATACGTTCCAGACACGTGTAGATATAAATGCTTATGAAGAATTTACATGTTTACTCATCTGCTAAAGATTAGAAAAGGGCTGAATTGGGTATCATATTCTTTTAAAAATAATTAGTGATATTTAAAATATTTGCAATCTTTATGCTTCTCTTAAATAGAGACGGAATTATTTTGAAGAGATCACCTTTATAACGAATATTTGAGATTTTGTATGAACCTAGGCATAATTGAAGGATCATTCAGCTTTCTTAGGACCAAACTATTAGTTTTTTGATTATATTATATTTTGCTTGAACGTTTTTTTAGTTTTCACTCTAAACAACTTATACAACATCTATATTTTTTTCTTTTCACCTATAATGTATTTGATAGTCTTTTTCCACAAGTTTACAGCAGGTAAGTTTTCGTTAGAATGTGGGCCGAGTTGCTGGTTGTTTTAGAAGTTTTTTAGGTGGTAGTAGAAAAGTCTCATTATTTTATGAATTCGACTCTGTAAATTAATGTGTAATGTATGTATGTAGTCATGTAAATGTATGTATCTATGTAAATTCTCAATTAACCGCATCAAAACACACATGGTCCGACTTTTCAGTATCGTGCGAGACGCCGACGGATTAAGTCGTCTTATTATTATTTCTATCACTCTTAGAATAAGGAATTGTGAAATTGCATTCGGTATAAATAAATAATTATGAACAATTGTTGTTATTGTTTCATGTTATTGAAATATGTATGTTGACTTGACGAGAACTTTGTGTTGTTTATAACAAGTTTGTATGAAGTGATTTATAATCGATTGTGATAAAATTGTTGTGTAAAACGTCATAAGGATTATTTTACTGTTTTGGAATTGGTAATTGCGTTTTTTGGACAATTGTAACTTCATTAGTTTTTTTTAAAATTATATTAGCCTTACTTACTCAGAGAATTTTGGCATACCTGCAACTTACATTTGATACTATCTCTATTTTTATTATATCATAGACTATATTTATTATTTCATATACTATAAATTTTTACAACCAACCTTTTTTTTATTTTTCTTCTAACCTTACATTTTATTCTAACTTCTAATTCTACTCTATCTCAAATCAACACTTCAAATTTTAACTTAATTTCAATCCAACAAATCATCAAATAACAATTCCATATCAGTGCCAGGACTCGAACCGAGTACCCCCCGGCATGTTAGTCGGGCATGCTACTGACTGAGCTATTCAACAATCTAAATTCTAGTTAATTTCAACCCAAAAAATCATTAAATGATAATTCTATGTCAGTGCCAGGACTCGAACCGAGTGACCCTGGCCTGTTAGTTAGGCATGCTACTGACTGAGCTATTTGACAATCTAAATTCCACTTAATTTCAATCCAACATATCATCAAATGACAATTTTGTATCAGTGCCAGGACTCGAACCGGCGTGTGAGTCGAGCATGCTACTGACTGAGCTATTCAATAATCTAAATTCTACTTAATTCCTATCCAATATATCATCAAATGACACTTTTGTGTCAGTGCCAGAACACGAACCGAGTACCACTGGCGTGTGAGTCGAGCATGCTACTGACTGAGCTATACAATAATCTGAATTCTACTAAATTTAAATCCAACAAATAGTCAAATGACAATTCTACGTCAGTGCAAGGACTCGAACCGAGTATTCTTTTAATTTCTATCCAACAATTTAAACGACATTTCTATGTCAGTGCCAGGACTCGAACCGAGTACCCCCGGCCTGTGAGTAGGGCATGCTACTGACTGAGCTATTTAACAATCTAAATTCTTCTTAATTCCTATCCAATATATCATCAAATGACAATTTTGTGTCAGTGCCAGGACTCGAACTGAGTAGCCCTGGTGTGTCAGTCAAGAATATTACAGACAGAGCTATTGAACAATCTAAATTTCTACTTAATTTCAATCCAACAAATCAAATAATTCCATATCAGTGCCAGGACTCGAACCGAGTACCCCCCGGCATGTTAGTCGGGCATACTACCTACTGAGCAATTGAACATTATATATTCTACTTTATTTCGATCAAACATATCATCAAATGACAGTTCCATGTCAGTGCCAGGACTCGAACCGAGTGTCCCTGGCGTGTGAAATCAGGCCTGCTACCGACTGAGCTATTCAACAATCTATATTCTACTAAATTTAAATCCAACAAATAGTCAAATGACAATTCTACGTCAGTGCAAGGACTCGAACCGTGTATCCCTTTAATTTCTATACAACAAATTAAACGACAATTCTGTCAGTGCCAGGATTCGAACCGAGTACCCCCGGCATGTGAGTAGGGCATGCTACTGACTTTTTTTTTTCAAAAAAATCGAGTAAGATTGTTTTATAAATTATTTCTTAGATAATAAATAAAGGACAATATTGTCTTTACTTTCTATAACAATAACAGAATTATTTTTGTAATAAAATTAGAGTATTTAAATTATTTTAAAAACAAAAGATTTTGTGTGATTACGTAATAAAACAATTTAATTATTTAATTAATAAAACTCATAATATTTGAAAAAAAAATTAATACTAATGTTTGATTTTAGATTTATCAATAATAATAATAATTATGTTTAAATTGCATCATAGCAATTTATATAGTCTAATAATTTAACAATTGAATAATTATTTAAAGAAACAATTCTAAATAAATATTTCGTAGTTTATTTATATTTATTATCAAAGTAGATGAAAAGTAAAAATAAACACTTATATAACAATTACATTTATTTGTTTCTTTAAGTAACTTTGATTAAATATTTTATTTACTGAATCATTAAAACGCATTGTTCAATTTTTTCTCACCGATCATGAGATAACAATTATTTAATGTTTATTTATTTAATTGATACTTTTAGTCATATGTTTCATTTTTGAGTTCTTAAAACATCCTAAACTAATTATAATTTTAGTAGAAATATGTATTTAAAAATGTCCTACGTGATAGTTATGTTTTATAATATTAGGATTCATGTATTTCTACCGAACTTAATATTTAAGAAATATTTAAAAATGTAATATAATAATTAAATCAAACAATTCCACATCAATTTCCTTAAAGCATTCTCAAAATAATTCTTTTAACAAAATGTTCTTTTAGAAGTTTCCAACGTTTTCAGCACAACAATAAAAAAACTTTTCCATTCCGAGCTCGAAATAAAAAGTTTTAAAGTAAATACGATTTTTTAAAAAGTTCAGCTAGAAGTAAGTTTCTTATTTGTTGTATATATAAAATACTCTTTATATTGTACACGAATTTTTACATTGAAAATATTTTATCAGCGTTTCAAAAATCAAAATAGCTCAGTCAGTAGCATGCCCGACTCACACGCCAAGGATACTCGGTTCGAGTCCCTGCGCTGACATAGATTTGTCATTTGATTTGTTGAAATAAAATTAAGTAGAATTCAGATTTTTAAGTAACTCTTGTTCTAGAAACTAAATCAGCTGAAATGCAACGGAAATGCGTTACGCCACAAATATTGATTCCTCATTGGCTACCGATACGGTCATTCAAAACGCATTGATGTGATTGGTCGATATCGTCTTGTCATGTGATATCTTTGATTCTATACGAATGTCAAATAACCACAAATTAGGGTTATGTCATCAAAACCTTAATACTTTCTTAATTTTGACGTACAAATTTTTAACGTAAAAGTGTTACAGTACAGTGTAACAGTCTAAACGCACTTGGGTGAACATTTGCACCAGAGTGGCGCTTAGACTGTGCTTAGCCTGGGTAATTTTTTGAATTTCCAAAATCCAAAATTACAAAAATATTTTCTGGAAAATAAAAAAAAGATGTAATAATTTTTTATCCTCAAAAGCTTCAAAAGGAAAGAGAGAATGTTAGAAAAAAAGGTCCCGAAAGACAGTAAGAGATATATTTATAGAAAGTGATAGATATAGAATTACATATAGATAGCTATATAGTCAAATAGCTAATGTTTGAGCTTATGTCGTCGAAATCTTAATATTTAACTTTAATGATTTTTTATTAATATTTTTCTAATTTTTGTTACAGTGTTGTGACCAACAAACTATTCAATCAGTGTCTTAATTTTGTGTAAAAAAAATGAAAGTGGCGGAAAGACAATTTAAAAAACTTTTAAAAATGTTAAAATAACAAAAAAGTGTCCTGTAATTTAAAATTCATCAAGGATGTCTTCGAAGCAAGTGATCCTTGAAGGAGGGCCCCCTTGGGGCTTCCGAATGTACGGGGGCTCGGATCAGAGGATGCCCCTGAGGATATCACGGGTAAGTAATAATATTTTATTGGATATATATATATATATATATATATATATACTAGCTGACCCGGCAAACTTTGTTTCGCCATAATGGCAATAAATAAGCAGTTTTTATAATTGAAAAAAATAAAACAAAAATAAAATACCATCATTAATCATTCATATTTATTTCTGAAAATAATAAATTATAAATCATAGAATTGTGGGGATTTGGCAGGCTAGTCATGAGAGAAAAAACAATTGCACTTGTCATATATTTTCATAGCATTAATTTTTATAGTAAATAAATTTTATATATTAGGTTGTCAAATATCTCCCTTCCGCTTTTTTGCTATTGGTTTATAATACAAAAAGGCGGAAGGGAGATATTTGACAACCTAATATTTTCATACAAGTGGAGCTTATACTTTCATAACCATAACTATTCCCACAGAATGAATAAACTAAATGGACAGTTTATAATTAATTAATTTTGAATTTGAATTTTAAAAAAACTGGGATAAAAAGTATCTTGTGTCCTTCTCCTGTCTCTAAACTAAGTCCCTGCCAATTTTCAGCTAAATCGGTTCAGCCGTTCGTGAGTTATAAGTGTTCTAACTAACACGATACTCTATATATATATATATATATATATATATATATAATACATAAATATATTAAATTGCAAAGTAAGTTTTTTACTGGAATCAACATTGTCAACGATTCGTGCGCGTGGATTACAATTATCCAACACGTTTATGGTAATATTGTATATATATATATATATATATATAAATTATTTACCATATAATTACAGTAATTACACACACGCCTACATTCGAAACAATCGCCTCGAAGGCATTGAGCATTTCAATAGATAATAATATCTCAATGCAATCCACTGAAGACACCTTTTCTACTATTTTTATATTTTATATAGTTATTTATTATTCTAACAATTTCTATAAATAAATAATAAATGAATATACATTCTTAAATGAGACAATAACACATTAATTTAAAAAATTCAGACGTTACCACAAATAAAATATATGTAAACAAATTGCTTCACCTTTGCTTCGATTTTAATTGTTTGCTCTCTTCATAGATGGCGCTACGAAATGTAGCACGTAAATTTACCCCTTGGTTTCAGTTCTAGATAAGATTATACATAAATATATAATATAGAAAATATGAACAAAATTAATTTAAATAAATTAAATTACCATTACAATTGCGTCTATATAGAATTAGCATAATTTCTCCGTTACTCGTAGGTTTTTGCATAAGCCCACTCGTGTAATTTGATTCAATTACAATTTATATTAATAATTAAATATTAATTGACGTCTGACACTAATTTTTAACAATTGCTCTATCATTCAATGTGCTTTTTTATTCCATATATTGATTGCAACCCACGACTTGAGTTATTTTTAAATACTTGCCATAATTAATAATAGTGACTTGTCAATACTTTGTGGACAAGTGTATCAGGAAATCATTTATTTATTAGAGAATAGAGTATTTTCTTTATTTAGTAATAAAATTTCAATTTATTTGTTTTAATCTATTATCAATAAAATTTAATAATGAACATTTGTCTTTATAAAATAATTTTTTATATCGTATTTGATAATTTTAATTTACTTTCGGTAATATATGTACAATCTGTCTTGGATATTTAATAACTCCATATTTTCTTAGAAAACTTCTAAATTTTAGTATTTGTAGTTACATTAGGCATTCTGAAGAATATTATATTTTAATTACAGTATTGTATCTGAACCGATTTGTCCTGAAGAGCTTTTTGAAAACAATAGTTACTTACGGAAATACATTTTTATGTTTGTACGTTTCTTATAAGATATTTATTAATTCAAAATTTTCTTAGAAAACCCGTCAATTTTAGTACTAGTCATTATAGTGGACACAATAAAGAATATTTACTCAGAATTTTAATTATTTGTTGTGAACAGTTTGTCCTGACGAGCTCTTTGAAAATAATGCTTACTGCTACTAGAATACATTTTACGTTTGTACTTTTTATGGCAGATATTTATTAACTCAAAATGTTCTTATAAAACATATATAATTTAGTATTTGTCATGATAATAGACACAATAAAGAATATTTTTTCATAATTTTAATTATTTGTTGCAAACAGTTTGTCCTGAAGAGCTCTTTGAAAGTAATTTTCACTAATACTGGAATACATTTTACGTTTGTACTTTTTATGGCAGATATTTTTTAACTCAAAATTTTCTTAGAAAACGCGTCAATTTTAGTGCTTGTCATTATAGTAGATACAATAAAGAATATTTATTCAAAATATTAATTATTTGTTGCGAACAGTTTGTCCTGAGGAGCTCTTTCAAAGTAATGCTCACTACTACTAGAATACATTTTACGTTTGTACTTTTTATGGCAGATATTTTTTAACTCGAAATTTTGTTAGAAAACTCATCAATTTTAGTACTTGATATTATAGTAGATATAGTAAAGAATACACACATATATATATATATATATATATATATATATATATATATATATATATAAACATAGGCATTTGTATCCGGGTCGTTTAGTATGCGTTTTAGTGTGAAAGATCATGATGTTGATGACCTCATCAAAAAGACATAATATATTCATATTCAGACATCAATAATATATATATATATATATATATATATATATATATATATATATATATATATATATATATATAAATTATTGATGTCTGAATATGATTATATTATGTCTTTATGATGAGGTCATCAATACAATATAATATATATATATAAACGTGAAATGTATATATATATATATATATATATATATATATATATATATATATATATATACGAGTATAAATACTCCTGTTTACATTTTAGGCATTTATATGATTTTTTTAAATTTAAATTAGAAATCCTCAATAATATAAAAAATATTATATCAATCTATAATAATCAGTATTTGAAACTGATATGTTTAATTAAAACTATAACTATTATGTTGTAATTAATAAATAACTCTGGATGAAATAATATTTTTTGAATAAATTAAATTATAAATCGCTACACCACCTCTTTGCCATTACCTCAATTTTAATTATTTTCCCATTCCATAGATGGCGCCACCAATAGTAGCACGGAAATAAACCCGTAGGTTCAATTCTAGATAAGATGAATTATATAAATATATAATATAGGAAAGATAAACCTGATTAATTTGACTAAATAAAATTAGAATATACTTCAAATACTTATCATGTATCTTACCAATATTTATAGAAAAAAATATATGTTTAACATGTGTATTCTTTTCTGAATGAATAATGTACACAAATAATAATTAATCAATATGTTTCACTTTTTTTTGTTCTTTTCACACCTGTCAAAATATCAATCAATCTGATTGTAAGATATTGATAGATTTATTTCATTACATTATTTTTTTTGCTTTTATCAGGCATCATTTTGTTTGATTAATTATATACACATACTTACATTAAGACTTAAAATGTATATTAATTCCATACACCACTAGTTTATTATTATAATTACACAAATTCTAATTACACCGAAACATATTATACAAGACTTGTAATTAATTTTTTTTATAGATAATTATATAAAACACCTGTTCAAATTACGCAATTGAATTGTTTCCTAGCTCATTATATTTATGATGGGTTAATCAATCATAGTTTTTTTGTTAATAATTATATTTTTTTATTTTTATAATAGATTGTGAGATTTCACAGTAATTGTTTATAATGTCGAAATAATTGACCACAAAATATTAATGGAAAATTAAAAGATTGTATAAATTTTTAGTAGTATATTGTGTTGGATTATGAAGACCTGTTTATTTATTATTATTTACTTACAACGTGACGAATATCACAAATTTCAGAAAAATTCAAAAAATACAATAAACTTGAGTTTGGTTTCAAAAAATTCCTGATATTCAAAATTTTTATACGTTTGAATAATTTTTACACTATGGATTATTTCAATTTTCAATTTCTTTTACAATGCCACTTACCCCCAGTTTCCTTATTTTTTCACTCGCAATTAAAATTAGAAAGTCCAGTAATGTTAAAAAAAACTGCATAAGATATGCTTCTTAAAAAAAAACTTGCATTTTGTTACTAATTGCAACAATATCTTTAACAAATCCACAGTCGTCATGGCCAGATGATTTTGAAGGAAAGTGCATTTATAATTATTGCGATTTTTATGATTAACTTTTACTGAGTTTACTTAAAACACACACATAAATACACACATGTATGATTTATTAAAATATTTTATTTTTCTGAAGTAATCGAAAAAGTTGTACATAATTGTGATAAATTGAATTTGATTTGTTTTCTACTGAAAATTAGATTTTTTCTCTGAAAATTTGATTCAGCTATAGATATATGATTTTCCCCCTGAAAAATTAATTTTTTCTCTGAAACTTTAATTTTCGACGCAAAAATTTAATTCTCTTCCTGAAAAATTGATTTTTTCCTTGGAAACTTGATTTTTTCCCTAAGAATTTCTGATCTGATTTTTACTGAAAATTTGATTTTATTCTCATGGAAATTTAATTTTTTTCCTTGAAAAATTGATTTTTCACCCTTGAATATTTAATTTCCTCCCTAGAAAATTTGATTCTCTCCTTGAAAATTTGATTCTCTCTTTGAAAATTAGATTAACCCCCTGAAAATTAGTTTTTTATCCTAAAAATTTGATTCCTCCTTGCAAATTTGATAATTTCCCTGGAAATTTAATTTTTTGTCCAAAACTTTGATGACCGCTGAAAATTTGATTTTACTCTACTGGACATTTGATTTCCTGTCTTAATAATTTGATTTTTTTTTTCTGGAAACTTGATTTTCCCTCTGAAAATTTTTTTTCCCTGAAAATTTGATTTCCTCTTTAAAAATTCGAATTTTTCCTCAATTTTAGTTTTTTCCTAATAATTTGATTATTTTCTCTAAAAATATAATTTCTTCTCTGAAAATTTGATTCT